GCTTAGTGGGAAATGTCCCAAAGAAATCCAAGAGTAACTACTAATCTTGTTATACAGAAAAAGTAACTATTACTATGTCAATTTATAATGATTCGTATAGTTTTACGATTTCATTGACTAAAAGGATTATCAAATGAATTGTAATTACAATTAAAACTATCGAAAAGGAAAAGGAAAAGACACATATTTTTACAAAGTTTATCTTAAAATATATTTTTACAAGAGAGGACTGAGCACTTCTAATTCAACTCCAATATTGGTGGCAACTTGTACCGACACATAGGACAACTTGGGTTTTTTAGGAGCCACGTCTCAATGCAGTCAAAATGGAAAGTGTGCCTACAAGGCATGCTGTAAACTTCCGAATCAGGTAAATACTTCTCCATGCATATTGAACATATCTCTGTCAAATCATGGCCGTTTGGAATATTTACTTTCTGTAAAAACTGAATTATTGATCTTACTGCAGGCAGTGATTTAAATTCCCTCCTAGCTTTCTCAATTAGAGACTGTATTAGTTCCCTTTCGTAATTCTCATCAAGACACCTGCTCCTCCATTTAGATGTGCCTCTCATCACAAGTTCTTGTACGTAATATTCTATCCATTGAAATTCTTCATACAAAGATGATCCCTGTCCTATTCGCTTGATTTTATCATAAATTTCTTCCCAAAGTATTTCTGCCAAATACTCTCTCTCTTTTGCAAGAATTCTTGATTTTGTAAGTTGAAATTCTTGAGGAGATACAGAGACTGGCTTAACAAATAACAGGTTTATATAGACTGTATCATCATCTTTGAAAGGAGGTGTAACATTCTCCACCCTACGAGCAAACTCCAAGATATGTTTGATCAAATCATCTTTGTTCTCCAAAATTTTGTCAGTTGGATCCCACTTAATCCTTTCTATTGAGTAAGGAAAATCAGTTCCCAAAAGAATTCTGTTAATAGTTTCCTCTGATAATGATTCATACTTACAGGCACACCTTGTACCAAAGTTGAACTCTTCTATAATGTTCTCATCACAAGTGTAAGTATGCATGGCAAATAGATTAATATCCAAGTTAAAATTGTGACCTGAAGTGGCTGAAGCAGGAATATTTCTTATACTATTACAAAATAGAGGGAACACATAAATTTCACTGGTGGTTAATGGCTCCATTTCGTGAAACTAACCAAAAGCTTAAAAGTATAGGTTCTGAAAATTGAGTTTGACCATTTGTGTAGCCTGCATTAGAATTTATAGAGACAAAGGCGTTCTCTCCCTAGGGTTGATTTATTTGTTTTTTGTGTTGGATTAGGAGTCCTTAAGTCTAAGGATTTGTGTAGTTTAAAGTTATCGACCATATTTCCTTTTCCTTTTCGATTTCGGTTTCCCATTCCCTAAAGACTTGTGAAACAAAATTACAAATATGGTAAGTTAATTACCACAAGTGTACAGACTACAATATTTGTGCTTTTTCTTTTCTTTCTTAAAATAAGTTTTTGCCTTGATAATTTCCTAAAGGAAACTAGAAAAGTAAAGATCACCCCCCCCCCCCCAATGATACCCGTCCTAACAAACTTAGTGGTCGTTTGGACATAAGAATTGTAAAATTCCGAAATAAAGAGAAATTTTTTTTTCAAGTGAAAATGATATTTGAAAATTGGAGTTGTGTTTTGACATCAATATAATTTGGGTTGTTTTAAAATTTTTGTGAGTGATCTGAGTGAAAATTTTAAAAAATTTCTTTTTGAAGTTTTTAAAATTTTTGAAAAATTCCAAAATTCATCTTCCGAAAATTTAAAATTTTATGGCCAAACATTGATTTCCGAAAACAATGTAATTTTTCAAAAAAAGTGGAAAAAATTCATGGGGGCTCTTTGTCCTTGTGCAAAATGTCATTTTTGACCATTTATTTTAAAGACTGATTCATCTAAGACCATCTTACGTTTTTTTTACCACACCAAATAACTCTCCAAAAGAAAATAATTTTTGGAGCATCGTGATAAAGCATAGTATTGATTTTGGAGAAAATCTCACTTTATACCCATTAAATTTAAACTATTTACCCTTAAATATCCATACCTAAACTATTTACTTTTCCTACCTATGCAATCAATACTATTTACCCGCCCAAATGGTTTCCTTATTTAATGTATGTAAAATCTCCTAAAATTTAGAATTTTGAATGCAAACAAAGAATTTGCTATTTTTTCTCTCCTGACATTAAGAACACGATTTTTCTTCTTTTAAATTTTTTGTCTACTTCTTTTTTCGTTAGAGAGTGTTAATAATAAATTTAACGAAATCATGTTAGAATAATTTTACAAGTTAAAGATGTATACAATTAAAGTAATAAATATGTATTCCATGTTGGATATAATGAAGTTATGGATAATATTTCAAATATTTAATATCACAGTTAATTTTTAAATTTTGAATGTGCTAATATCTTGAACTCTGAGTTCAACTATAGACAGTTGAACTTCTATAGTGATAGAGTAAAAAACTCTTTATACTAACTAAAAGAAAAGATAACTATACATAAGTATTCGTGCATAAGAAGCCATATAAGTAATTCGGAAAATAGGCAAGTAACATGCTACTAATGTATACTTTTAAGTTAGGAAAATCAAAATATACCCGATCTAGGACAATATAATATATTGATTAAACATTGAACGTGGATTTTCTGATGTATAAATATTGTAGAAGCCATGATGCACCAAACAAAGGTGTTCAATATGTGTTATATAACTCTAAACGTAATATTTTACCTAAATACACATTGTAATTTTTCGGCGAAAGGTGGTCAATTGACCACCCATATGACCATGTGGTTTCGCCACTGATCCAACCTCATATATTGTTTATATTTTGTAAACCTTGCTAGTACAGTCAATCTAGAGCATTGATTGACTGACTGGTAATGCTTTAATAGTTTGTTAATCAATCATTTGTAGAATATTCTGTGAATTTGAGTCACTATCTGTTAATGTTATGTGAAATTGAAGTCACATTGACCACTCTTTCTCCTCAGCAGCCAGCGCACAAAAAGATTGTCCTTTCCGCCACGCTATTGAAGTCCCGCATTAAACAGGTGCCAATTAAAGGATCTAAGATATGGATTTCAATACCACGGACCTTGAAGCTTGAAACTCATAACTTGGTTTGTTTGAGTTTTTATTGTTTTGATCCGATCCTATATGGGTTAGTTTGGAAAGTTGATTGGAGGTTGTAGCTAAAGTTTCAGTCAATTTGGTGGAGATTTTGTAGTAAATTTTAGAAATTTGGGTTGAAATATAGTTGAACCAGAGAAGAAGACGAATTTGTATTGTATACCCAAATAGTATACAAATATACCATTTTAGTATACAATTCATTCCAACTATATACCCTATTAGTATAACTATATACTATGTTGGTATCATATGCTAGTTGAATTATTTTTTGATTGTATTAGTTGCATTTAAATGGTACAATATTTGATTTTCTTTTAATAATAATAATATAGTACAATATCTTGAAATACCTTATTATATTAATATGTGGTACACTATTTTTTTATTTTTCTCTTTATGCATGTGTGTTATGTAATAGTAGTATAGTCATATAGTTGCCGGGAATTAACTAGTAAAACTGTATACCATGTTGGTATAGTTATATACCATATTGGTATCATATGGTAGTTTGGACATTGTTTTGATTGTTTTAGCTGCATTTTAAGCGAATTCTATTATGAAATTATATATATCAACATGAGTTGCCATAATGCTGGAATTTTTGTGTGCCGATGGACATAAATTGTGTGTATTAATAGTTTTTATAGTTATAGGCAATTGTTGGAACGACCCATACAACTATATACCTTCTTAGTATACGAAATGAGCAAGTTGTTTTGCGAATATTTAGCTTGCAATACGAGCATGTAATTTTCTCATACTTTTATTGCGTCCTTTAATGTTTTGGTAGAGTAGTATAGTCGCAGATAGTTGTAGAAATCATATGCTCTGTTGGTATACATATATACCATATTGGTATCACATGGTACTAGAAGTCTTTTTCGCTACTTATACTTTTGTTGTATTTTTTAATATTTTATTATTATTTTTATTCTAACTAGTATATATGGAGATTTGGTTGCCGTAGATTATATTTCTTGCTCTATAACTGGTTGTATTAGTGCTAATGGTAGAGTGTGTATTGATATTTATAGGGAAGGAGATCAAGGTTTGCATGGCAACCACGTGTTGATTCTTAGAATTTGATTATGTAATTTATGGTGCTCAACAGCAGTCAATGTGATATCCAGTGTATTAGATCAAGTGACAACTGATATTATTTCAGTTTATAATTGAATTTAAAAAATGAGAATAAAAATGTATATCGTACTAGTTATATTAAAAAAAAAGGTGAACAAATATTTACTAATCAATTATTTTTCTTATTGTGTAAAAAATAATAATAAAAAATAGTGAAAATGGTAAATGAAATTAGATTATGAAGAGAAAAAGAATATAAAAAACAAGAAGTTAAATGAAATTAGAAAAGAAAAAAAGAAAAAAATAAAAAGAAAAGCAGAAAAGAAAAAAAAAAGAAAAAAAAGAAAAAAAGAAGCATAGAAATAAAAAAGAATTGGAGAATAACGATAAAATTCCCCATAAAAACTACAATGGGTAGAAAATGTAATTAGTTTATGGGTAAAAAAATAAATAGGTAGACAAGGATAAATAATTTTATTTTTATGGGTAGCTGTGTCAAAACCCCTTGATTTTGACCCCTATAGTATCCAGATTAGTCATTGTAACAAACTGGTTTATTTAAATTTCAAACCGTTTACCTAAAAAAATACGTCAACATGCGGAGATGTGCTTTAAATTCAGGGACCTATTTGTACTTTCATATTGAAATTTATAAAAAATAAAATATAATAATATCGATTGGGAGCACGGTACTTTTTAGTTCTCTTTTTGATGAAGTCCAATAGAAATAGCCTGACTTCCTTCTCAAGCTAAGTATTATTTGGCCATCTTTTCTTGTTAAACAAGTCTATTTTCCCAACACAGTTTTGATAAACTATAAATATAAGTCATCAATTAACGAGCAAATTTCACCAGGAACCCATTCTTTGCTTTGCTTTTTCTTCTAGTTTTCTTATTGGCTTTTTAGTTAAATTTTAGTTACTGATGCAATGGAAGTAGAAAAAGGACATAGCAACTCCACCTCTAACTTCTTGTGGATGGCCCAAATGGAAGAGGTCGAAGGACGACGGTAGCTTTTTAAGCAATTTGAAGGAGCAATTCCACGATTTTGTGAATACCCCTATGGCTGATCACAAGCTTTGCTTCAAAAATACTATTGACAAGGTACAAATTTCTATCATTGATTGAATAACATACGTAGTACTTAAGAATTAATAGCTCTACTGATGCAAATTTAAGTTGCTTACTTTGTTTTCTATTCCATATGTTTCTTGTTTTTATGACTATTGTTATTTATTGATTTTTTATAATTTTTATCGCAATTCCTCGAATTTCTTAAGATTCATTTATTTTTGAATAACCTAATTTGTATATACAGGTAGCTTCTAAACATAAGATTTTAGTTCTAAGAACACAAATATCTTTTCTTCATCTTGAAAGGAAGAAACTATTCGCATTTTAGCAACTAGGCCCTCTTGAAAATAGGATTTTTTTTTTTTTTTTTTATGTGGTTAAAATAGAAGTTGTTTGTTTGAAATTGGTGTTGTCGCTTTGAAACAGATGGTTGGAAATTTTCGAAAGGAGATTAATGGGTTTAAAGGTGAGGAAAATTCTGTGACCCTCCAATCGCTGCCTGCAGAGGAGAAGGAGAATCAGTAGAACTTCGGACGTGGCACGTGCAGATTTTAATCAAATTCTATTTAGCATTCTTGTTCTTAGTTTTTTTTATTTTTTTATTTTTTTTAGTCTCTCCCCTTTTATTCCCTCTTCGTTGGAGCTACTCCACATCTGGGAGGTGCTGACTCTAAGCAACCCCTCTTGTCTTCTTGTTCTTAGTTACATGAAAAGTTTGCAAGTTTTAGTAGTCAATCTAGAAAATTTAGCATGAAATTTTTTATTTTCACCCATTATTTGTGTTTGCACATTACCGTTTATAACTTCATTATAATTAATTAATTTATTAATATATCATTTCATTTTATTCTATCAATGATAATTAAAATGATTTGATCGAAATATTTGGTTTGATAAATATTTCCCATCTAACATTTGTGACCTTAAAAACAAATTTTTCTTAGGTAGTAAACGAGAAAGGGAATAGTGTGTTCATGCTTTAACGACGTAATCACTGAACGTTGGTGTCTGGTGACTGGTGCCAAAACTGTGGCAATATTTTAATGTCCTTTGTTGACTAATGTCTTAACCAAAATCTACGTGGCAAGACTTCTAAAAGCTATGAGATAAATGGCAAAATGCTTTTGAAAAGTGACAATTGCTTTGCCACGTTCTTTTCCCTCAGCATGATAGATCCATGCACATGTGCCTATAATTAGGCTCTCAACTAGACAAGAAAATCATCATTAGCAAGATAAAGAAATCCATCTACTTCTTTCCTTCTAATTTTGATCTTCATCAACTTTTTTTGTGGTTTTTCCTTGTCAAAGTTTAGTAGTTTAATATCTTTTGTTCCCCTCTTTTAAATAACTGGGTTTGTAATATTTAATTTGGCTGATTCTTGTATCCTTTAAATAAATAGAGATGGGCTTGTTTAATCCTGGGGAAATATTTCACATTGCTGAAATAGTTTCTTAGAACAGTGCCCAGCACGACTCAAGCCAATTCGTGTATCTGCTTACAAATAATATTATTGCAGTATTATTATTGTTATTTTTCGGTGTCATTTTCCTGCAATCTAAGAAAATATGGCAAGTAATACCACTACGAAATTTTTTGATGGTACTACCAATTTTGGTGTTGTCTCTGCTGCTACTGTTTCAGCTGTCCTGCCAGATATCCACGGTGTTGTAAATACGTTATTGCATCCACAACTTTGGCAGATACTAATGTCAAAACACATGTATGTGAATAGACATGGTTACATATCCAATGTTAATATTAAAACTTTCAAGAAAAATACACCTCAATGCAAGGGAAGGGTTGGGATAAATGACAATCTTGCTAAGTTAAATTAAATTTGACTAAAGCGGATAATATAATTGTTGCGGTCATTTTCCAAATAAATAATGTGGCTAATGTGAGAAATTGGGTGATAGACTCTGGTGCTACTAGGCACATTTGTACAGACAAAAATGAATTTTGTCTTACACCAAGTTAAGGAAGGAAAAGAAAATATTTATCTTGGTGACTCAAGAACAACTCGCGTTCTTGGGAAAGGAAAAATTCTTCTCAAACTCACATCTGGTAAAACTCTAGCATTGAGAGATGTATTGCATGTTCCTAATATCCAAACCAATTTGATTTCTGTGGGGTTATTAGGAAAAGTTGGAGTGAAGATTTCCTTTGAAATTGATGAGGTCATATTGACCAAAAACGACATTTTTGTGGGTAATGAATATTGCAACCATAGTTTATTTATGCTTAATATTTCTGATACTAGCAATGAAAATGCATCTTCTTCTGCTTATATGGTTGAGTCTGTTTCTTTATGGCATGTTAATGTCGCGTATATATAAAAAATGCAGTCACTGAGATTAATATCTAGTTTAGACTCAAATAATATTGACAAGTGTGATATATGTGTTGACGCTAAAAGTACTAGAAAGACTTATTTTTCTGTAAATAGAGAAACTGAATTATTATCCTTGATTCACACTGATTTAGGTGATTTAAAGCAGACTATGACTAGAGGTGGTAAAAGATATTATGTGACTTTTATTGATGATTTTTCTAGATATACTAAGTTGTATTTGCTTAGAAATAAAGATGATGCTTTTAATTCTTTTATTTCTTATAAAACTGAGGTTGAAAATCAAGAGAATAAGATCTGATAGAGGTGGAGAATATTTATCATTAAATGATTTTTGTGAAAAGAATGAAATTATTCATGAAGTAACTCCGCCTTATTCGCCCGAGTCAGATGGAGTAGCTGAAAGGAAAAATAGAACATTGAAAGAGATGATGAACTCTATGTTAGTTAGTTCTAATGCTCCTGATAATTTGTGAGGTGGAGTATTATCTGCATGTCACTTACAAAATAGAATACCACATAGAAAACTGACAAAACTCCTTATGAATTGTGGAAGGGTTATAAACCTATTTTGAAATACTTAAAAGTGTGGAGTGTCTTGCTAAAGTTCTTTTGCCTGAACCTAAAAAGAGAAAAATAGGTTCTAAAACTGTTGATTGCATACATATTGGATATGCTGAACATAGTGTTGCATGCAGATTTCATATTTTAAAAAGTGATGTGCTTGATTACAATACTATAATTGAGACAAAGAATATTGAGTTCTTTGAATATATTTATCCATTGTCTGATAAAATTTCTCATACACCTGTTAAAATAAATAGTGAAATTACCTCTAATGAGGAACTGAGAAGGAGCAAAAGGCCTAGGATAGAATATTTTTCTTATGGAAATGATTTTCAAACTTTTCTTGTCGATAATGAACTATCAAATTATTTTGAAGTTATATCTTCTTCACATGCTAAATATTGGAAAGAGGCAATAAAAGTTGAAATCAATTCTATTTTGAAAAATAATACATGGATTTAACTGATTTACCTCCTGGTGCAAAGCCTATTGGTTGTAAATGGATTTTCAAAAAGAAATTTAATCCTGATAGATCTTTAGATAAATATAAAGCTCGGTTAGTAGCAAAAGGATTTTCTCAAAAATAAAATATAGGTTATTTTGATACATTTGCACTAGTGACTAGAATTTCTTTTATTCGAGTTTTAATTGTCTTAGCTTCAATCCCTAAACTTTTTATCCATCAAATGAATGTCAAAACTGCTTTTCTAAATGGTGATTTAGAAGAAGAAATTTATATGGTTCAACCTGAAGGCTGTGTCATTCTTGGACAAGAAAATAAAGTTTGTAAATTAGTTAAATCTCTTTATAGCCTTAAACAAGCTCCTAAGCAGTGGTATAAGAAATTTGAACAAGTCTTACTGAGAGACGGTTTTTCTTCAGTTGAGGTTGATAAATGTATTTGTACAAAAGTGATAGACAATGATTATGTGATAATATGTCTATATGTTGATGACATACTTATATTTGGTACAAGTTTAAATATTGTGCAAAGTACTAATTATTTTTGTCTACTAATTTTGATATGAAAGATATGAGTGAAGTAAATACAATATTGGGAGTTAAAGTTTTAAGGAGTGAAGATGGAATAATGTTGTCACAAGAACATTAGTTGAGTGAATTCTTAAGAAGTTTGAATATTTTAATGTCACATCTGTAAGCACTGCTTTTAATGCTAACTCTCAGTTGAAAAAGAATAATAGTGACCCAGTTGCTCAATCTAAATATGCTCAGATTATTGGGAGTCTGATGCATTTAATGAATTTTACAAGGCTCGATATAGCCTATGCTGTGTGTAAACTGAGTAGATATATTCATAATCCCAACAGAGAGCATTGGTCTGCATTAGATAGACTAATGAAATATTTAAGAGGAACCATGCATTATGATATCCTATATAGTGGATTTCCTTCTACCTTAGAAGGTACAGTGATGCAAACTGGATCTCTGATTCAGATGATACAAAATCCACTAGTAGTTATGTATTCACCCTTGGTGGTGGTGCAATATCTTGGAAATCAACTAAACATACGATCATTGCTAGATCGACTATGGAATCAGAGTTTTTAGCTCTGGAGTTAGCTGGTTCTGAGGCTGAGTGGCTAAGAAACTTCTTAGCTAATATCCCTTTAATAAAGGACGTATTGTCTCCTGTGTCTATACACTATGATTGCCAAGCGGCAATAGCTATAGCAAAGAATAAATCTTATAATTGTAAAAGTAGACACATGAAATTGAGACATGATGTTATAAAACAGTTGTTGAGAGATGGAATAATTTCCATTAACTATGTGAAGAGAGATATAAATTTGGGCGATCCTCTGACTAAACCTATGGGAAGAAAATTAATTCTTCAAACCTCAAAAGAGATGGGGTTAAGGCCGACATGTTGTCAATAGAGATGGTAACTCAACCTATGTGATTGGAGNAGAGATGGTAACTCAACCTATGTGATTGGAGATCCCATGAAGTAGCGTCATATGAGTAATAACAAGTCGATATTGGCACTGAAGCACTAAAAGAGAGTGCTTGATTGCTACTAATTGAGAGGTTGAGTTATAACTCTTACTGAAATTCATAGTCCTTATGGATGGTGTATTTAAAAGCAATATACACTTGATGAATTCACCTATATGAGAGTGGTGTGGGACGCTCCTATGAGATTTTGGCCTAGTCTCTAGAGCTCTCATGAATCACCAGGCACGCGCATGGCCTCTTGGGCGCAAAACTGTGTTGAACAGCAAAATTACCAGGGGTCAAAATGTGATTGATAAAATCTCTGACTTACAATAAGAATTATTGGTTCATAGAAATGTTATATTTCACAAGTAATTCTGTAAGTTAAAATTTTATTGGTCTAAGTTTGGTTCATAGTCCAAAAGACACCAAACCTATTACATTTGGACCATACAAATCCAACAAGTTTATTTTTGAAGGTCTTTAAAATAGTGGGGGACTGTGGCAATATTTTAATGCCCTTTGTTGACAAATGTCTTAACCAAAACCATGTGGCAAGACTTCTAGAAGCTATGAGATAAATGGCAAAATGCTTTTGAAAAGTGGCAATTGCTTTGCCACGTTCTTTTCCCTCAGCATGATGGATCTGTGCACACGTGCATATAATTAGGCTCTCAACTGGACAAGAAAATCATCATTAGCAAGACAAAGAAATCCCTCTACTTCTTTCCTTCTAATTTCGGTCTTCATCCGCTTTCTTTTGTGGTTTTTCCTTCTCAAAGTTTAGTAGATTAATTTCTTTTGCTCCCCTCTTTTAAATAATTGGGTTTGTAATATTTAATTTTGCTGATTCTTGTAT